GCGTATCAGTAGAAATGATTTTACTGAGTATAGTTTCTTAAGTGACCTCACCGACTTACATAGGCCTGAGCTGGCCAACGCTCTACCAGTTCCCTCTCAAAATCCCAGCCAGTCACTGCCTTATAGTCTTGCCTTGTGTAAATTTGTTTTCTGTTTGTCTTTTTATAACCACATTTTTGGAACCACAGTTACCTGTGGAACATTGATGTATTAAGCTGTGTTAATAGGCTGCTACTCTGCTTCACTTCTTCAGTGACAGCCAACTTTTTTCCCGCTAACATTCCTGATCAGAACCCACCAACCAGCGCTCGTGGAGACGCTGACTGCTGCGGAACTGATCTCACCGTGTTCCTGGGCCCTCACAAGCACTTCATTTCAATACTGAACAGCTGCAGCTGACACTTGACCTCTAGAAAGTTTTCCTCTGGGGCTTTATGAAGCCAAGGCAGTGTGGTTGATTTAGTTTAATGTAATTTGATCCCTCAGGTCCTGCATTTCCATGCGGTCTAATCATATTCCAGCTCCTTTTGGTTTGGATAGCAAGCATATGTGTTGTGTGTTGGGTACGTGGCTAACGGGGTTCTAATGGTCTGCTATTGCTCTGTCACTCCTCAGGGAGGTGTTATATAGCATGCAGTGTTGTCTGCATCTTTAGCAGTTCCCACCCCATCAGCCTAGACGATGACATCTGTCGTGTCTGGTCAGAAGGCGTGAGATGGGAAACACTACCATGTAGTGATGCCCCTGGCTTTCTGTAACGTCCGTATGTTCATCCCTTTTCAATTTTCCCAACTGTAAGACCTGCATTTGATGACACTGACAGCTGTTTTCGTGCTATCCCCAAGAGGAACACACCCATTTCACTGAATTATGGCACATAAACATTGCTTTCAGCCATACATTATTATTTTAAATAGTATTTGTGCTTAATCTATACTGAGTGTGCAGCTATGAAACTGTTAAATCTTCATGTACCACATTTCAAGGCTTGTGGTGGTTTTGGAGCACATTCTGGACCTTTTTGTTTTCCTACATAAGTACTACTAAGCTTCGCTAACCCAGCATAAGTCTTCCTTTAAGTCATAACTTTTCACTTCTCATGATACAGTTCTCCAGATATTTTTGAAATTCCAGTACCTTTCTGTAAATATGTTTCACCTTGTTTAGGTCTACTTGGTTATGAGAAGTCTTATGTTTCTAAAAATGAATATGTACTAAAAAGAACAAAAAGTAAATGTACTTTTTATTAGCATTATTAAGGTGAGGACGTGACTGTGTATTGGTCTTGCATAACTAGAACAGCCATAGATATTTTCTATTGTCATGATTAATTTCCTATACTTGTTTAAAAGTAGTTTAAAATCATTGTATATAAACAGTTTTTCACAGTTTCTTTCTACAGACAAAGTTGTAAAATATGTTACTTCTAATAAAGCGGTAGAAACTACATTTCACTAATGTCTTATTCTTTTTGTCTCACCTCTTTTATATTTCCATGCATTCTGAATCCATCCAGTATTTAGTTTTAGATCAGATAAACTGAAACTCCACCACTTAGCCTACTAAACACTTTTTGTCAAATATCAACCCAAAGCATCTAAAGATGCTCATAATGAAAATAAACTCACTGGATACTCAAATGTTAATGATTAAACACCAACAGCCATTCGTGGCAAGTGGGGATACTGCAGGCTTGGGCGATGTGGGTGTGGAGAAAGGTCTTTGTGATTAGTCGACAAAGCTGTCTGTCAGGGTGTGGGGGGTAGGGTTAGGGCTGGCTTAAGGGTAGTTTCTGTTGTACTGATTCACCTTTTGGAACGCCTCCTTTCGGCATGCCCATTGCTCCAGGCTGCAGCTACCCCTGTCTCATTCGTGTTGGAGAGCCTTTTACGTGGAGAATTTAAAGGAACACTCCACTATTTTTGAAAATAGGCTAATTTTCCAACTCCCCTAGAGTTAAACAGTTGAGTTTTACCGTTTTCGAATCCATTCAGCCGATCTCCGGGTCTGGCGGTAGCACTTTTAGCTTAGCTTAGCTTAGCATAGATCATTAACTCTGATTAGACCGTTAGCATCTCGCTCAAAAATGACCAAAGAGTTTCTATATTTTTCCTATTTAAAACTTGACTCTTCTGTAGTTACATCGTGTACTAAGACCGACGGAAAATGAAAAGTTACGATTTTCTAGGCCGATATGGCTAGGAACTATACTCTCATTCCTGCGTAATAATCAAGGAACTTTGCTGCCATACTATGGGTGCAGCAGGCACAATGATATTACGCAGACCCGGTAGTGTAGACTACCACCAGACCCGGAGATCGGCTGAATGGATTCAAAAATGGTAAAACTCAACTTTTTAACTCTAGGGGAGTTGGAAAATTACCCTATTTTCAAAAATAGTGGAGTGTTCCTTTAAAAACACAAAATCTGAAATTGACACACCCTCTATTGGTATTCTACGGTGGCCGAGAAGTGCAAAGCAGATCACAATTCTGAAAACAAAATAACAAATTACAAATGCAAATGCAAGTCTAAAAAACAAAATAACAATTCAGAAAGCACAACAACAATTCAGAAAACAAAATAACAAGTCAGAAAACACAACGACAAATCAAACAAACCGGAAAAGTTAGGTATAGTTTGAGACAGCGCCATTGGTTTGGGATTACTCACCGCTGACTGGACGAGACATCTGTCAATCAACGTGTACAGGAAGAACCAGCCGAAGAACAGCAGAGTCGTGGTAGAAAGTTCGGAGATGGTATTAAAGTAGCTCCGTTTAAATGTGTTGTATGAATTGCCCTTACTATGGAATAAAAAATATGGGGTGTCTATTTAGATTTAGTTAAAAGTGGCCATAAATCATCAGCTCCAGTAGCACAGATGGATAAGCGCGTGACCTTGGCTTTTTGACGCGATCGACCCGGGTTCAATCCCGCCTTTTGCCAAACTTTTTTTTTCTCCCTTTTCTGACTTGTTATAATGTTTTCTGAATTGTTGTTGTGCTTTCTGAATTGTTATTTTGTTTTTTAGACTTGCATTTACGTTTGTAATTTGTTATTTTGTTTTCAGAATTGTGATCTGCTTTGCACTTCTCGGCCACCGTAGTATTCAGTGATATTGTAGCAGTAAAGATAAAATCTTTGCGTGGCAGAAGCAGCTGCCTGCCACAAAGATCTGCCACCGCTGAATGTGCCTGCCACTCGAAGATTTTACTCCCTCTCAACCTGAGTACAAGTTGTTTGTTTTTGAACGTGTTGTTTCTCATGAGAAGAGGAGCACATGTGGGAAATTTCAAGCCTGTAGTTCAATTATGCCATTATAAAGCAACCACATAATGGCACTAACACACTCGATAATTGAGATTAATTTAAGCCTTGCAGACCAAACACTCAATGCAACACATCAACCTAGTACAAAAAATCTGAACACTTTCGATGTCTTTAACAACATTTATGGATGAACTTCCGAAAATACATGTTTTTTATATTTTATTTGTAAAGGGCTAAGAATGTTCATGCTTTTTATTTCCAATGTGTGAACAGCTTGTAATGAAATTTAGCAAACTTAGACCTTATTCCCTGACTTCCCAGGTTGTCAATAGCCCTATTCGGAAAGTAATTGTTTCTCATGTGGACATCTGTATTTACATGGCACCTCAGTGATAAAACTCATGGATTCGGTTGGCGAATTTAAAAAAAAAAAATTTCACTGTGCATAAGTGAATTTCTGTCTAGAATATTCTCTCTCAAAATGTTGGATGTCAAAAAAAAGTACCTTATTTGCATGAGGTACCTGTTTGGTTTATATTTTTAAGTAATTGTATGCCTATTGCATATATAAAAATTGTATTGCATTGTTGCTGCCATAGAAATTAATGACCCATTTCATTACGTGCATTTTTTCTTCCACTCGCTGTTGTGGAGCAGTTATGAAATATTGTTCTTATACTTTCCAGCATTTCAAAATTTTTGCCCCCTGTAATATGCATGCAAATTAGCGAAGTGTTGTACGTGTTCAAGCAGTGGTCAAAAACTATTTAAAATTGAATTTTGAATGGATTTCTTCTTGAAAACTCAGAGATGTGGATTCCGACGGCAAATTAAATTACCACACGGTTTGGTGTCAAAAACAGTAGGTATTATGCTGGGGATTCTTACACTAAATCACCGACGTCCCATGTAAATGTTGAAAATCGCTTATTCCCATGAGAAACAATTACCTTCAGAATCTTTGAAAGAATGTAAGGTTAGACAGAATTTTATGTCGAGGACATTTTTGGAAAGTCAGCGTGACATCTACAGAATACTCAGTACTTACATTCTGACACTCCAAAGGACCAATCATACCCACACCGGCATTATTCACTACAAAACAGTGCGGTAGAGTCTAAATCAAACAGTATGTGTGAAAACAAAGAGATATGATTATACTTTTTTTTTTTTTTTAAACATCGGCAGCAAATCTAGCACCAAAAATTTGGTGTATATATAATCATGAAACTCTAGATGGCGCAGGCTGACGGGTTGTTAACACAACTGATGATATTCAGAGAGTTAAACGACTTGGCACAAGCTGATTGAATCATGCTGCATATGCAATGAGCTTACTGCCTTGCATTTATATGGCTGGCTAGCATTCACTTCCTGCAGCGTGCTTTCAGAGTTTCTCTGAAACCCTCCACCTTCCCCAGCTCCACCTGTATAGACCTGCTATGGGTTATTTTATATGCTTTTTGTGCAGCAGCAGCATGTCTTAAATACTCATGGCACTGTATCGCCATATGCATTGGCAGTAGCAATCTCCTGTACTTGCTTGCAGCAGCAGCAATGATCTACAACTACAGCATTAACCAACAGCAGAAGCAATTCAGCAGCAGCGTAGCAGATCTATTCCGCCAAGACCAAATACATTAACATTGTCATATCCATCACCATGCTAAATTTGAGCATCAAATTTAGCTGATGAACTCTGTGTGGTAACACAAATGTTGAATATTGCACAAATGTGGTATAAAAACTTACTACTTTTATTGAAAAGCTTTTAGTCAAGTCAAAAGACACTACATTTTTGGTCATACCGCTATGAAGCTGCATTGCTCAGAAACAAAGATGGAGTGAATTAAGGGAATTTTAATTGGAAAAGAAACTCTTAATGTCACCTAACACATCCACTTGTCGATTTGGCAAGCTGTTCACACACTCTCTGATAGTGAGTCCTCACAGGTGGCATCCAGCTGTCGGATCTCCAGGGATCTGTTGAGGGATTCTCCAGCTGCTCTCTCCAGAGCTTCTCTCTTATCCAGGTCCCTCATAGTGGCCACAACTAACTCAGGCACAATCAATAGTAAGACTTAAAACATTAACAACATTGTTACGTCATATTACATTTACCTGTTCATTATCTAATGTACATTCTGTAAGAATATTGTTCCATCCTTAATGAATAACCATACAGGAGCAAATGAGTAATACAACATTAACATTCTAGTAGCTATGATTTACTAACAACAAACTTTACCTAACCAATTAGCAAGTAATAGCACTATTAAATGCAAAAAGTTTTTTTAGGCTGATTACTCAAAATGCTCCCGTATGATACAGTGTTAAGTTCAGAGGGATACCAGAAAATTGACCACAGGAGTAAGTTGCAAAAAAACTGCAATTAAATATCAATTTCTTTGAAATTGTTCATAGCCTGTTATTAGTTCTGTAAAAAATATAAAAAAAACAATAAAATGTACTAATTATTAACATATTATTATCTATTGATTCTGTAAGTGATTACATGTTAATGTCAAAATGTAATAAAAAAATTTGTCCTGCGTTAGTTATTGATTAGTTTCACATTAATTACAAAACTGTATGTAGTCCCCTGGGAGGCATGAAAAAATACAGTCGAAGTTACTGATTAGCTAATAGTGAACTACCACATTCAACTGCGTGCTACTTACTAATGCATTAATCTCAGTTTCATGTTAATTAATAGTAGTTACTAGAATGTTAATATTGTTTTACTTCTTTGTTCCTTTGCTAGTTATTTATCATTGAAGGAACAGTATTTGAAACTGTTCCTTTGTAATGTTGAAACTTTGAGTTATATACACATGCATATTTATACAATTCTAAGAGGCGTTTTACATTCATATAGTCTTCTTACCTTTGAAGCGCCTTAATTTATCCTTTGCAAGACGGACAGCCAGCGCCAAACCAATTCCAGAGGAGCATCCTGTCACCAAAACCTTTCGTGTCCCCATAACTTTAGTTCAAGGATGATTTCTAATCTGAAACCATTTACAAAGCATTAAACTTTAGTAGCACTATATTTGCCATAGCTATAGCCAATTTTCTGTTCAGAATCACAACCATCTTATGACCCTCTTTTCTTGGGACGTTAATCTCAGTTACACATGGGTCAAATACGTTAAAATGTCCGCATCAAAAGAAATGTGCAAAAGTGTTTTATATCCATAGAAAGCACATTAAATGTAAGTAAAGTGTCTACTTTTAAGGTTTCAAATAAGTTTTGGGGGAATAAAATGTCAAGATTTGGTTTAAATCATGTTAAATTGTCATTCAGTGTAACACAATATTTGTGTAAAAATTCAAACAACGTGCTTATTCATTATTGTACATATTAAAATATATAAAACAATAAGGGAGCATATTAAATGTTATTGTGTTTTAAATGAGTAAAAAAATCTTACTGACCAATGGGCAAAACCTAGGATAGAGGCAAATTTTACAAATGTAAAAAATTACAACTACTTAGTATTTGGGGTGAAAGTAATTAGTCTTTCCATATGTCATAAATTGATTTTTGTTGTAATTATGCCTGACAAGAATGTTACACTGAATGACATTTTAGTCTTCTGTAAATCAGGGAAAATTTTCAGATATTTAGAAAACTTTTTTTAAAAATTTGGGGAAAACAACAACAATTTAAAGCAGTATTTCACTTATTGTTTTTATGCTTAACCCCTTTTTCGTCTTTGACCCACATGTAAATATATTAAACTACAGCACATAGCAGCAAAGCCAGGTACATTTACAAGCTCTTAGAAATGCAAAAGTCAGTAACTACACTGTAACAAGAGCCCTATATTAAAGCTTCACATTTTTCGTGTGCTAGGTGAACATTTAAAGGGAAAATGCATGTACAGAGAACAGGTTTCTGGACTACGGATTAAATCTTTAATCAGATTTTCTCAGCACGGGAGCGCACCTCATGATCAGCCCGTTTTAACTGGTCAGTAGAGATTTGATACATTTCACATCTAAAACCGCATGACAAGTGTTATGTTTTATAAAGGTCGTCTCGTTTTAATATTAAGCTTTCAAAAACGACAGTGACGACAGTTGCACTGCGTGAAAAACAAAAAAGCACACACCCTGTTTGAGGTGTTCTGGGACATGCACTTGCTGAATGCAGATAAGCTGTCCGTTCTGCAGCGTGTACAGTCCTGTGTCCTGTGGACAGACCTCTTGTCATCCATAAACTCCTTTCAGCCGGAACGCGTGAGTTCTGCACAAGAGCCGCACTGTGAAAACAAGTCATGTGCAGAGGTCGCGTTTGCGTTCAGAGAACCCTGGGATTTGAAGTCATTGACTGTATAACAACAACAATAATAATAATATCAATAGGCTAGTAATAATACAATTATTATTATCAGCATCATCATATAGGCATAGAATAAAATATATGCCCTAAATAGTTTTGAAGCGGTTTAATACTAACAATCTATACTGCGTTTCCCAAACGCATCGTAAAACCAATGAAACCAAATGGAGCTACGATCAATTTAAGCTTACGAAGCTTTTGGGAAACGCAGCCCTGAATGATTCTTTTTAGTGAACAGATTCAAGAGATCCGAGTTACTCCATGAATCCAAATCCTCACTACAAATTTGCATGGACAGTCAAGAGTGCTTTTATTTTGTGCTCGGTTTACTACGGTGGCCGAGAGAGCTCAACGCGCTGCAACTTAAGAAAACACATGCAAATTGAAAAAACACCAGCAAATTAAGAAAACATCTTCATCAGTTTGACAACACACGCGCTGCAAATCCTCACAACACATGCAAATGAAGAAACGCTGCAAATCCTCACAACACATGCAAATGAAGAAACGCGCTGCAAATCCTCACAACACATGCAAATGAAGAAACACTGCAAATCCTCACAACACATGCAAATGAAGAAACACGCTGCAAATCCTCACAACACATGCAAATGAAGAAACGAGCTGC